TGAATATTTTTGCTTAAAATTGCTGACAATTTGCTGGCAAATTGCGAACAAATTGTTTACTGGGAATGTTCACATGCTTCCATGATCGAAGTGAAATAGATGTCGCTCCTGCTTTTGGAATATTTTTTATAGTTGTTGTGGAAGACAAAGGAATTTTGATGGTAGGTGGGCTTGAGCCTTCAAATTCTAAAAATTTTAAATATACATTATTAAAACCAATAATATTAAATTTACAGCTTACAAACATATAATGACACAATGTATATATTAGATACTTTAAATTAATGAATATAAATTTTTACACATTGTAAATCTTCTACCTTCCCATCTTTGATCAAATACGGGACCCATAGGTGTTCTCGTAGCATTTGTAAGACTCTAGTTTTTTCGATCCCATAAATCTAAACAGCTTATTGTTGTGTACAGTGTGCAATTTTTCCAATCTTTTAGTAAGTAGAAGCCTTGTAGTGATGGTGGTTCCGTGCTTATTCGAGGTTGTGATTGTAAACATTTTATTTTTGCGTTAAAACTGCAATTTATCCAGGTATTGTATAGATGTGTACTGTAAAACTCTACAATCATATAAGTGTCTATAATATATATATATATATATATATATATATATATATAAACGTATTTATTCTCGAGAACTATGATATAAATATATAGAATATTTAGCTTTTCAATTTTCATTACAAATCTTCATAAAAACTTTCATTGTAAACTTCTTAAATTTAAAGTAAAGTAGAACTTATTTGTAAAAAAAAAGGTTTAAAAGGTTTAGGTATGTAAAGAGAAGTAAAACAATTTGTTGAAATAGTGTATTTTAAGAAGTTGCAATGTTGTAAGAACAATAATAACTTACTCAAGTCAGTAGGATTTTCTCGCTGATATTGATTATAAAGTAAGTTGTCATTCCATACAAGTGCGCCGCCGTCGTCTTCTGAGAGACATATATATTTTCTCTCATTTCTACATGTAGATGAATTAAAATGAAGTGATTCTCCACGTAACACAATTACTTTTCCACAACTGTAAAATATTTGGACAGCAAAAAGTAAACACCTTAAGAGAGTACTGGATACCGACTATAGAGACCTGTAAATCGACGTTTTAATATTTCGTTTTGTGCCGTATTTACTGCATCAAATCCAAAATGCTTCTACAGAAATAAGTAAATTATGCTAAGAGTTTGCTGTTGTTCTTTGGAATGTCAAAATTCAGCATAAATTTTTTCTTATACAGTTTTCTTCTATAACCTCACCTTATATTCATGTATATAAAATAATTTCTAAGCTTATGTACGTATTTACACTGAACTACAGCAATACGTACGACACAAAACAATCTAATGAAACACTCAGAATATGATTTGATTGTCTAATTGATGCACAAAAAGTAATATTGTGATGATGTGTATTTGATACTATATACTATCATTATGAATGAAAAACAAGTTCAAAAAAGTATTATATACCCATTGTCAAAAGCTTTATATAGTTTTGTATATTTATTTGCTTCTGTAGAAGCGCTTTTAATGTTGTGCAGTAAATAAAATTAAAAAATAAAGAAATTTAGGTTATACAAACGTCGGTTTACAGGTCTCTATCCAGTTTACAAGCCAGGCTCCAGTACCCTCTTAACATCATTTGCAGTGTCATTAAATATGTTCACAGGTCGATCTTCATAAGCAGTAAAAAATATCGTCAAAAAATAATACTCGAATTAAAATAATTAGTAAAATTAATCAAGTATTTTATATTTACACATATACTTTTCAATGTAAAATAACACAAAACACAAGCACAGCATATATGTTAGTAATAATATTCGAATAAATCATGATTTTCTATGTGCAACTTGTACTTTTANTCGTAATTATAGTAACNAAATTNCTTGGTTAATAAGTTCACAGAAAAAATGCGACGTGGATGATATATTTCACATGACTTGTACAATAAATATGTTTTGTATATTCGTTCGAGTAGAAACAGAAAATATCACGAAAATAACACAAGAAAATAATTCTCTTAATATTATATGGTTTAACGTTTTAATAATTAAACACAAAACTGGTAACAGAACGATTCAAGTTAAGTCGCGAATTACGCAGTGTTACCGCAATAGATGAACTATCACTGTAATAAGTGTAAGAGAGAAAAGTGGTGGAAAGGAAACCAAACTCTTCCTTTAATGAATCAGTAGATTTTATATCTGCTAACGGTAACTGACGCAGTAGGAACTTTCATTGCCATGACTATCCACAAATTAAGAATTAGCGAATGCTTCAATCATATAGTGGCTCCAAATCTGTAAAAGATTTGTCAAAACCGTAAAACGTAATGAAATCGTACGGCGATTCTTGATGAAACTGTGGAAAATTTGCTTCGAATAAATTTCAAGGATGGTAACTATGCATTTTTGGTCACACAGCTCAGATTTTGTTGCGCTTTAGACGTGTTGTAGGGCAAGTCATACTGAGTAAGTAAGTAAAAAACTTTTGTGGTGACGGCCTTGATTTAGGAGATATGGCAAGTTGAAGTTTCAGAATTTTAATGCTTTATTCTATATATTACAAGTTGTTATTACGAACAGTTAAGTTTGTGTATGTCGGACTGATGTGTTGAGGAATGTAAACAAAGCTACAAGGTCAAGATTCCGTTTCGTTTTCTCGCAGGTTGTTAATGCTTTCAACATGCGACTACACGAATTTCTAAGTATAGTAGAGGTTAGCGACAAAGTAATATAAGTAAATATTGACAATTACGGATCCTTTGAAAAAAAAAAAAAAAAAAAAAAAAAAAAAAAAGTTTTATATATAACCTCTTATTTCTCGATTCTATGTATATTTTCTTCGAGTTGAAAGCGTGTTGGCAGGAGGTGGGGTTGCGCCCCCTTCAAAAGAAGGGCTGTTCCTCTAGTTGCATTCCCTTGAGCTACGATGCTTCAGTACTAAAACTTTTTCTTAATAACTTTTTAAATAAAGTGAAGTAATAAGGCGTACACTTCAGGCTTTCTCTCAAAATCAAAATCAAGATATGAACTCAACTGCTATGTAGAGCCAGTGCAATATGTCGTTCAATAAATAAATGTACTTAGATGTGTTTCAAAATGTTTCGACTATATTTTAAGTTCTAATCAATTGAATCTGTTCCAATAATAACACAGCCACACAAAAAAAAAATTTTTTTTGGCCTGGGGATCAGACCATGTTTATTATATGTTTTTGGGGTCGCTGAATCCGAATCCGAGGTCCATTAAACCCTATCGGGTCGGGGTTCCGCCATAACCTCAAAAAACACCATAATCTGGGCTCGAAACCCAT